TGGAGAAAACGGAACAGACGCGTTTACTGGCAGCTCAGTTTTTTTTTGGAAAAACGCTCAGACCCGTCGATTTTGTCTTCGAGGGGGTCACAAGTTTGGCAAAAAATCACGTTAACACGTGCAGCCCCCTGGGCAGGGGTGACACCAACCCTAAAATCTTAAATGGAAAGGGGGGTCGAGTGATACCTTATTTTAAAAGGTCTTTCAATTCCCTTTATAATGATGTAAAATACATGAGCCTCAGTTGAGCAGTTTTGAAGATTTATTGATTTAAAGCCTAAAGTAGACTTTAATACGTATGTACATCAGATTAGTTTGTACTACTTTGAGAAGAAATTTGACTAAAAGAATTTACTTAATAAGTAAATGCTTTTCTACACTACGCCCATGGTTTGTTTATCATTTTGTTGTTGAAAATAGCTATTGGAGCGTTTTTTTGTGGCAAAAAAGTTATTTCTTGAAGAAAGATAAGGAAATATATCGTACTTATTTTAAATAGGAATTTAGTACATAGTTTGCGATTGATTTGACCAAACTTTGTTGCTAAAATAACTTGTAACGCTTTATTACATAAATTAACCATGGTATATTCCACAGCAGAAAGAGTTGAAATTATCGAAATATTTTTCGAAATTAATCAGTTGCGCTAATAGAACAGCAGAAATATTTAATGAGCGACATGTAACGTGCATCGAAAATAGGTTCTAGAACTTGTAGATAAATTTCGGGAAACTGGGTTAGTCGCCAATAAAAAACGCAACATTGAAAATCCCATAAGGAACGAAGCAATAGAAGTGAGGGTTTTAGGGCAAGTTCATGTAGATCCTACGTTAAGTACCAGCAAATTGGAGACTGTGTGTGGTGTTAGTCGACGTACTGTCCAACGGATTCTAAAGGCCCATAGTTTTCATCCGTATAAAATTCACCTGGTACAAGAACTTAAAGAAGACGATTTTGATCGGCGATTACAATTTTGTGAAGATATGAGTGAACGAATTATAAACGATGAACATTTTCTATTCAACACTTGATTTTCCGACTAATGTTCCTTTGTCTTAAATGGCGTAGTAAATCGTCATAACTGCCGATATTGGTTCGATTTTAATCCCAGCATTTATCATGAGGTTCATACACAGCAGCTACATTTAGTTGGTCCTTTTTTCTTACCTGGAAATTTGACCGATGAAATGTATTTGGAATTACTGGAAGACGTCATAGATACTGCATTAACAGCCATAATTGAAAATAAGAATGATCGGCGGTACATTGCGAATAGGTTGATGTTCCAACAGGATGGTGCCCCACCACATTACGCATTACGTGTTCGACAATATTTAGATCAGACGTTTCCAGATCGATGGATTGGTAGAAGAGGTGCCATTGAATGACCCACAAGATCGCCAGATTTATCACCTTTGGATTTCTTTATGTGGGGTCATTTAAAAAGTAAACTCTATGCTACTCAGCCAACATCATTAGAAGACCTGAGACAAAGAATTGGGACTGAGTGCCTTCAAATTACTCCTCAAATATTGCAAAATGTGTGGCAACGTTTTGACCAAAGTCTTAATTATTGCATGGAGAGTCATGGTGACCATTTTCAACATTTACTTGTCTAACGGGTCAGTTCATTCTTCATTTTTAAATTACTTTGCTGCCAAATTTATTGATCTCCACTAATGATGACGTATTAGTTTTATTTAAGCTTTAAATCAATAAATCTTCAAAACTACTGAACTGAAGTACATTAATTTTATACCATTATAAAGGGAATTGAAAGACCTTTAAAATAAGGTATCGCTCGACCCCCCTTTCCATTTAAGATTTTGGGGGTGGTGTCACCCCCGCTTAGCGGGCTGCACGTGCTAACGTGATTTTTTGCCAAACATGTGTCCCCCTCGAAAACAAAATCGACGTGTCTGAGCATTTTTCCAAAAAAAAAAACTGAGCTGCCAGTAAATGCGTTCGTTGTAATTTTGAGGTGAGCAAGTGGCAGAAGGAATTTTAATGAAAGTCCATTTTAAATATCAGCCAGCGCCAAAGTGCTTTGTGCTCAATATTTTGTTTATTGAAAAATCCGAACAATAGAGGACATAACTTTCAAGAACCATAATTAATACGATTTTTGTGATCACTAATCTTTTAAAAATTTTTTTTACAGTTGCAAAATGCGTGATTACGCTATTTAAGTCTTACTTCTATGTATTTTCCTAGTCTCAGTTCTTTTTGCCCATGTTGAAAACTCTGAGAAACATAGCTATTTAAACAGATCTTGAGAATTGTAGTTACGTTCAGCCGTTTTAGCTTTTTAGTGTATAACACCCTTTATTATTCAAAGACGTTATTAAATACTTGTAATATTTTTACTTATTTCTTCTAGTAAGAGTCTGCATATACAGGGTGTTTCTAATTTGGCCCTCACCACTGGGATCTTGGACACTGTAAGGGATACGAAGTCGCTTAAATGGGGTAGTCAACAAAGTGACACTTAGAAGGATGTTTTCCTGACTTTATTTATATTGGGATTTTAAAATAAATTGCACATTAACAGTGCCACGTTTTCTCCTCTACAAGAAAGCATAATCAGAATTTCTATATGTCCTCCAGCATCAACTCTATTATTTCTTTAGAACGCTGTATTGCATTTGGTTAGTGAATTTTGTACATTTAAATGGACTTTTTAAGCCCTAAATTCAGTGATTGTTAGTTGACCATAAATTTATTGTTGGATCAAAATCAAAAGGAAATAAAGAGATTTAGTGAAACCTGAATACGAAATGAAAATTTTATTGACGGTAATAACAATAATAACCATAAATAAGCAGAGATATTCACAGTGTTCCAAACTCTGTTGCTATGCAAACAAATGAAATCTAATAATTTCAAGGCCTACCTAGGAACTTCTGGAATAACTAAGGTTTTGCAATGTCAATGTATGACATACCTTTGTTAAATCAGAATAAAGATTCTATTCATGTCTGTAAGAATCCAATATGTCGTCTATAAGAAAAAAATAAGTTGATGCTGGAGGACAAGAGACGAAACGTATATTGAAATTCTAATTGTGCCGTCTTGTAGAGGAGAAAATGTGGCAGCGTTCATGTGCAATTTATTTTGAAATCCCACCACGAATAAAGTCAAGAGAAAATCAAAACCATTTTGGGAAATCTCATTTTTTACGTCTCTTTCCGGAAGTACTTTCAATTTCAAAACTTTCTAAGGGACATTTTGCTGATTATCCGAATACGCAACTTTGCCGCTATTTAAGTGACTTCGTAACCCTTGAAGTTTCCGAGATCCCAATGGTGAGGGTCGAATTTAAAATACCTTGTATAGAGAAAATATTATTTTCACCCCGGCACAAACAGTCACTCCCTTTCCGTGAGAAAAAGCTGTATCACAAAGTCTCCAGAATTCGTTATTTTGTTTATTTTTCATCAGCTTTGGGTTGGACTTACATAGCTAGAATATACAGGGTGTCCGCAAAGTTGGGGTTTTCCTTTTCAGAAACAACTACGCTTGAAATAACAAAGGTAATGTGTAGTGAAACGAGGGCGACCAAGTAAAAAAAAAATAAAGGAAAAAGTACTCACTCTTCAGTTGACGAGAAGGGCTAAGTACGTCTCTGCCCGAAATCATACCGCTCCAACAGAAAATGAAATCAGCTGATGCGCTACCGAGCAGACGCAGGCAAACAAGGAAGGCAAAATGTTGCGTAAAAAGTCTAGGTATTGCATCCCGTCCAATCGATTTGGGAGAATAAATGGTCCAATGAGCATACCGTTCACCATGCCAGCCGAAACATTCACCGAAAATGTTTGTTGAAAATGTGCCCGACGGACAGCGTGCGGATTTTCTACTGACCAAACATGAGTGTTGCAAAGGTTATTCACCCCATTACGCGTGAACGTAGATTCGTCTGTCACCAATATGCACTTCAAAAGGTCCGGATTATTGTCATGTTGATGCAACAACCACTCACAAAACCGCACTCTTGCTGGAAAATCGTCAGGTTGAAGGACTTGTACACGTTGGACGTGAAACGGATACAGCCCCTCTTCACGCAGCGTTTGCCATACTTTAGTTTTTGATACTTGCACTTCTCTAGCCACGTATCTAGTGCTTGTTGAGGGATTCTCGTCTACGCGATTACCTCTACACGCGTGACCTAACCGTCGGTTTAAGGTTGCATACTGACCTGACACACTGACCCCGACCCAGTTCTGTCGTCGGGTTGAGCTAGTGTCCTAGTACCACTCGGGGATGTCGCGGCTACAGGACGGTATTCAGATATTTTTGATGTTGCAGAGCCCTTTATCTCGGTTCCCTTAAGACATTGGTGTATATGGTACTAAGAAAAATTGCTTATGTTTTCAAGATCTACACGTCGTGTAAAGGAAAACCCCAACTTTGCAGACACCCTGTATAAATACTGTTTGTGCATACACTTGGAGGCTGGGCGACAAAGGAACAGAGAATAAAAACCCTACTATCCGAGTTTTATTTAGTCATTAACAATATTTTGTACATTTCTCATGCATAATCACTGCAGACCTTTATTCAGAATTATTACTATGTATTTACTTCTTCAACTTGTCATTCGATGTGTGGAATCATATTCCTTCGAATTTATGTTTATACCTTATATATGAGAATTGAATGGTAATTACTGAGTAAATCTACTTGACATTTTTGGGTGCTGTTATTTTTTTTGGAAGATGTCCATGTTTTCCTCTCTAAAGGAAAATTCGGGCACATTTGGACCGTTGTACGAGAAATCCTAGATCATTCTGGTTTACAGCAAATGAACCCCCAACTTTTTCAAAATTGTCTACTTCATTCTAAAAAATTTTACATTCGAATAATTATTGTACTTGATTTCGAGCTTTGACAATTTACTGATTTGACAGTCACCAAACACGCTGTACGAACAGCGGATTGGTTGTCGGTAATCGGTCTGACCTCCCTCAGTCAACTCGTAACGTTCTTATGTACGCAATTAACCCTGGAACTGCACACTGGGGTCTGAGAAACCCCTCTCTTGTAAGTGCTTCGAGGAAACGTAAATAGTTCGGCTGGATAGTTCGGTGTAAATTCAGTCTGTAGTGAGGAGAGACAGTGCGTAGACGTTGGCTGTTATTTGTGCTATCTATCCCGTCCGAATATTGACTAACATCGGTGAATGGGTACGGCAGACCCCAGTGTGTGGTTTACGTTGATAATATTTATTTTGTATTTTATAGCTATGGCAAATTCTGACTGGGAAAATCGTCGTCCCTTAACGCAACGTGAGTTACAAAATGAGGTCGACAATGTGTGGCAAAATGAAGATGAGGCAGATAGTGACGAAGACTTGTTTGGTGAATTATGTGACAGGGACGAACATTATGTCGATGAACAACAGTCTGATACTGACAATGAACAGAGTGATGATGGTGATGAAGTTGTGTTACAGAATCCTGGTATATCAAGCAGGAACACTGCTAGTATAATGGGCAAAAACGGTCATCGCTGGAGTACCAAAATACCAGAACGCAGAGGCCGCACAACGAGAGACAATATTGTTTTACATATGCCCGGTCCTAAACAACAGGCGAGATTAGTTCGCTCTCCAATAGAAGCATGGGAGTTATTATTTAACCAAGAAATGTTAGATATAATTGTATTACACACAAATCAAGAAATTGTGCGTAAGTGTTTTGAAAACTTGCCACAAAGTTATAAAAAGCCAACTAACCTTGTAGAGATTAAAGCTTTTATTGGGCTTCTCTATTTAGCAGGGCCCTTCGACTATCAAATACGAATTTAGATGAATTATGGTCAATAAAGTACGGAAATGGATTATTTCGAGCTACAATGTCTCAACACAGATTTCAGTTTCTAGCTCTCTGTTTACGATTCGATGATAAGAATGCTAGGGCTGCAAGAAAATTAGTAGATAAATTTACACTTATCCGACAGCTTTGGGAAATTTTTATTGAAAACTGTAAGTCGTATTACACTCCCTATGAAAATTGCACAGTGGATGAGCAACTTGTCAGTTTTCGGGGAAAATGTCCATTCAGAATATACATGTCTAGTAAACCCGATAAATATGGTATGAAAATAATGATGATGAACGACTCTAAAACTTTTTATATGGTTAATGCAATTCCATATGTGGGAAAAGTTAATGTAGAGAATAATGAGCCAGTACCTACTTATTATGTTCGGAAACTGTCAGAACCAGTTCATGGAACCCACCGTAATATAACCATAGACAACTGGTTCACCTCTATACCTCTATGTGAGGAAATGTTCCATCAGTATAAATTAACAATCCTAGGAACACTGCGAAAAAACAAAAGAGAGATACCCACAAGCTTCTTAGGAAGAAAAGCAGTTGGCATGTCCCTTTTTGCTTTTGATCACAACAAAACGCTTGTTTCGTATACGCCTAAGCGAAATAAAGTTGTGCTTTTATCCACTTTGCATCCTCATTCATCCATTAATGTTGATACTGGAAAGCCAAACCTGATACATTCATATAATGAAACGAAGGGAGGAACGGATAGTTTTGACCAGTTATGTCATTCTTACACGACATCACGCAAAACTAGAAGGTGGCCCGTGAGAATATTTTTCAATATGTTGGATGCCAGTGGAATTAATGCTATGATTATATTCTATCTTGTGAATCCAGATTGGAAAGAAAATACTAAAAATAATCGTGAAACGTTTCTCAAAGAGCTAAGTAATTCATTAATTGAGCCACATTTACGAGAGCGGGCACAAGTGACCACGCTGCGTTCATATCTTCGGCTTAGCATTAGTAAAATTCTAGGAATGGATGCGCCACAAAGACAGCATCCAGCAACAGATTTGCCAAGAAAGGTTAGATGTGCAATATGTCCACGTGATAAAGACAGAAAAACTAACTTTGGATTTTCTAAATGCTACAAACCATATTGTTTCGAGCACAGGGCTAAACTTTGCTGCCAATTTGAAGACACAAACTGAGTTTCATGGCTAAGAAATTTATTGAGGTGTATTTTCATTTTTCAACTTTTTTTATGTTCTATAATGACTTTTTAGACAATAAAAATGTATTTAGCTTTTTAAAAGTTTTTTGTTGCATTTTTATTGATTACCTTCAGTTAATGTGCAATTGTATACTGATTTGTAATATTCTTTGTTCTAATACAATTAACGTTGAACCCAATGAACAAAATATTATTAAAATATTTTCTTCTACGAATTATCTGATGTATTTTGACATAAAAAGTAAAAATATAATAATGAGGGTACATAACATCCAACAAAAATACTTGGGTTTCTCAGACCCCAGTGTGCAGTTTATAGGATAAAAAATAAGTGTGCAGTTCCAGGGTTAATACAGTCAGCGACGTGTCAATTCACAGCTAGTACACCAACAACGGCAAAATTCGAATACGAAGCTCCTCGCAAAAATCTCATGTGAAACTGAGGAGTTTGAAACACGTCACCCGCACGCAAAAATCTATAAAACGTCAAAAAAAACATATAAGATATTAACTTGCAGACAGTCATTCCACGTTTGCTCACTAGGATCTATGGAGGAATCACTCAACTAAACTGCACGCATTATTGGTTGCATAGTTTTGTGAGGCTGAGTGATCCGTGTCTGTAGTTTTTATCTCTGAGAAGAAAGTTGGTTCAATAGCAAGATCGCATCTGGATGATTATGTGTATTGGTCTGCATGTGTATAAAATCAGTGATATTTGCTGTGTGAGGAAATCATTACTGAATATGCCGAATATGACGGGTTATTTTTATGTTGTGCTTTCTGAAGAGAGGTTATGTTCAAAGTTATAAATTACGAAAAACTGAGGAGAACTACGGAAAATCATCACCGCGCCCGCGTTGTGTGTAATTACTGTTAGCATGTATATGGGCTTGTAATTCGATAGTATACAGTGAATATAATTATTTCTTATCTCTCTCATTTTTGAAATTCAGCAAATTTGTATATGTAACTTCCAGAATGGATAAGAAAAAGTGGATGCGCAACTAATTTTTAGCTTTGAATCTCAATTAAGTTGATTTTTAGACAAGAACCCAATGTAATTATCATCAACACATACAACTTAAGGTGGGTTCATGCAAGACTTAACGTAACTTAACTTAAGAAAATGAGCATTTAAAGCGCATGCGCGGCCAGGATTGCCGATGTAGCAATGGCGACAATATCAACATTAAACACACTACCAAAATCATATGTTTAACGTCAAGGTAGCAGATGAAAGAGTGTTTTGTGGCTTTTGTGTTGCGTGGACTGGCGGACCAGCCTTGACATTGACAAGTGGCCCCTCTCCACTCGCTTGCGCCAATGCACTGGTAATCAAGTCACAGAACTCGGATAATAGTCCAGATAATATCGAAACATCTGCTCGGAAAAATCTTCCGATTCCGATGTTTGCATAATCTGATTCAAGGACCTCTGTTAAAGAATCTGCATGTGACTAGGCCCAAAATTGCTCCAAAAATTGTTATTAAACCGATTCCAAAAATTGATTTGTTCGCTTTGTTTATAGTATTTTGCGGTTTTTAAGACATTCTAAATAAAAAATGAGCTTTAGAACTTTTCTCTAGACTTGATATATACAGGTATAAGCAAGGTAAACACTCAAAATATGTCAATTGCTACCCTAAAAACAATATGAAAAATGAATATTTTGATGTTGCCAAATCTCACACATGCTTCAACCAACCAATAACAAGACCCCCAGAGCATTTTAGGGAGTACAGTTATTGTAAATATTTGCATAGTAATTATGAATTGAATGCGCGCTCAATGTATAGTCTATGTCTATGTGAACGCGAGAGAGAGATGAAATATCTCTCGTGCACGCTGAATATGCATTGAGCGTCCGCTTGCATATCAATTAAATACAAAGATTTTTAATAACAGTATCTCCTAAAAGGTATCGCAATTGTGTTAATGGTTATTTATGAAGCATGGCGACATTCACATTTTTGTTTTTTCAGATCGTTTTTCGGTATCGGAAAATCAATTTTTTGTACTTTCCCATCTCGTAAAAAATCAGCTTTTAACAAACATTGTCAAACATCGTTTTGTTACGGAGTATCAAAAAAAAAAACGAATACTACCTTTGATGAAGCGAAAACATTAATTTTTGGAATTTATTTGTACAAACAATTAGAGACGCAATTTGGAGCCTGACAACATGTAGATTTCTTACTAGGAGGCTTTTTCGAATAACATGCAAAAAGTCCGAATCCGAATATTTTCCTGAGCAGATGTGAAGATATTTCTTGGACTATAACGACGGCAGCGCTCCCTTTCTGGGCTGGAAATCTGGTGGAACTAAAAATATTGAAAGTATGCCGACAACGCACATCAGGAATGTCAGGAATGTGTCGGCAATTTCATTTGTTTATATTACGAAATCCGACTGATGAGCGTCCCGATATTGAGGCAGTTCGATGATCACAGATGCATAACACATCCTCAATAAAGGAAGTATTTCTTTCATCAGTTTGGCTAGTAATGAATTTCAGGATAATAAAAAAATGTATACTTAATTAAAAAAATATTTATTGAACAGTCCCAGCAATAATAGAACAAATTCTTCATTACAATAAATTGTACATACATAGAAGTATTCTACTCATCTGGATTTTTCTCTATATTATGAACCTGATCAGTCCAATATCATGCAAGCACTATCTCTTGTTAATTGATCATGTATATTTATTGCGAAAATATAAATACTAAAATAACAAAAAATACATCTGTAGTTAGACTGGAATACAAATATAATCACTCTGATATGTGAATCAAAAGTAGTTTTGCACACACTGTTAATGGGTAAAGGCAAACAAAATTGTCCTCAACAAAAAAAAAAACACAAAACACTAATTGTTTCTTCAAACTAGGAAACAAACTCCTTATGTCATTGACAATTAATTTGGTATCCATGAAATAAATGACGATCTTCACTCCAACTGTCTCCTCGAAGGATGTTGCCACTGTGAAACAAAAAAAAAATTATTAGCATAATATCACTGTCATATTTGGCCAGCAAACACTAAACAGAAACATAGTCATCTCACCACGCCCCTTCAGATGATACTGCTCTGTACATATGTATAAATTCCCAATCTAGCAGTATACATTTGATTGCCAAAATTCTGTGTGTAAACAAATTTTCATTGGTGATACCAAACACCAGTCCTTAATTTGGCCCTTTACCAGATTTGTTATTACCAACAGTACAGATGTCACAAAAAAAAAGTTACGTGATACTCATCTGTTTACCTCAATAAACTTCAAAAGAGATTACATATGTGGTGGGCTGCAAATACACAGCATTCGCCAGGTGTACACCTGGTTCGTAGTTAATGACAAAGTACCTTCACAGTGTTCTGTGAGGTTTTGGAAAAACATGTCATGGGGGGCATGGTATAGATTTAAATTCTCTTTTTTCTTCTGTAGGGGCTATAATTTGCCAACATCACCACTGGTACAGACTCAGACATGAAAGTGTTTGCATCTATCAGCTATGAAGTCAGTACTACAAGCACAAAATTTTAAGATCATTTGCATTTTTTTTTCGTTCTCTAGAATATAATTTCAAAATCCTCTATCTTGGTAAGGGGCAATTTAGGACCCATGTTTATTTTTTCCATGCTGTTTTTTTATCTACTTTATGCTGTAGCAATACTGATATGTTTTGCTGAAACTACCGCTATACGCACTTTGTTGGGGGATGAAGTAAACATGACCACTGACTTTATTTATTATAATTTTTAACATCTCTGATTTTTTTTATCAATCCGCCCCGATCTTCAGCTCTAAACTGTCATGCGTAAGCAAGCGCAAATAATTTTTCATACAACTATCACCGAACCATCTGCCCATACAGCAATATAAAATCGATCAAACATCACGATATAAATATCGACTATCGACTTTTGTACAGTATCGATGGCTCGTACCAATCTTCTAATTCCAGCTGTAGCGATCAGCTGACCAGCGCTAGTGATGCGATTGGTTGGTTCTTAAGAAAAAGTTCAATACATTGAAGTTTATTTTAAGAAGTGACCTTGAATTAAGAAAACAACCATAACCTCAATATATTTAGTCATTTATGCAAAGTCGAACTGATTTGGATACTTACTGCAACGTCATCATTAGGCGCTCCTCTGGCGATGTCTACATGCGATCAGGTGACTTCTGCAGGTACCTCTTCAACAAGGTCAGGAGTTGATACCAGCGCGGCTTTTCGTTTTTTTTGCTCTAGGCATGGCCATCCTCAATTAATCGCACAAAAAACAAGTCCAAGGCAGAAAAACACACCCGAAGACGAACACCAAAACAAATCTCTACCGCAAATTCGTCAACAACTCAAACAAAATCAACAGATGAGTCACCGCCTGGCTTTCTCGGTAAATCGTCGTGGAACACGAGACACCACAGAATTATTATAATTACGTCAATACGAGCATAGAACAGTATGGAAAGGGCTATCCAAGGGTAAGACGAGTTCCGAAACCACCCGAATCATGTCAAAAAATGGGTGTGACGTCACCAAAACGTTTGACAACCACTGGAAGTCACTAGCTAGTTACTATCTGGAGGCGTAACATGTGGAGGACACTGGTGTAGAAACAGCTGATCCTTAAGTTCGGTTACGTTAAGTTGTGCATGAACGCGACATTACAGCTTAGACCTCCAGCAATGCCATCTCAGAAGCAGATTTCACATCACATCAGAGCCAAAGATTGATAACAAGCCTCATGTCGTTTAGGCAACACGTACAACTAACTGCTAAGTTAACATCTTGTAGAAAAACCTATATAATGTCAAAAAACCAGCATAATGTCAAAAAAAATCGGCATAATGTCACTTTGATGCCGATCATTCATGAATGAAGGACCGAGTACTGACGAGTTCGCGATTCAAATAAACAGCTTCACTGTTTTTATCGAAATGTTTAACTGTTCTAAATGTACATGGCTTACTACTTTCAAGCGAATTAGTTGAATAGTATGTTACTTTCGAATAAACTATACTAAGTGACATATAAATCCGAACACCCAGTTTAAATGGTTTTATTTTAATAAAAGTTGGTGAATGTATTTATCTTACTGTAAATAACAAGTGAAAAAATTGTCAGCCTTATCAGTTGGACATTCCGGTTTTTATACTGCTTTTGTTTAATTCACTAACGCTCTAAAAATGAATATTTCAGCAGCAATAAAGAATCAACGTTGGCGGATTTTGGTTCTTGACATCCTTTACGATCGATTACGTTGCCTAGAGTACGGAGACCTGTACGATTTCGTCAATTTCGTGAGTTTGATAGGGGCCGTATAGTGGGACTTCGGGAAGCTGGACTTTCTTTTCGGGCAATTGCAGTTAGAGTACAAAGAAGTGTAGACACTGTGGTTAGGTGTTGACAGGCATGGCTTCGAGAAGGCCGTACGCAAAGAGCAAGGGGCACTGGACGCCGCCGTAGAACAACAGACCGTGAAGATCGCCGCCTAAGATTATTGGCCTTAAGGGACCGTTTCTCCACTACCAGGTCCATTGCAAATGAATGATTTGACGAATGAGAAGTTTTGGCTTGTTTTCATACCGGCCACACTGGGTCCTCCCTTTAACTCGAGAACACCGGCGTAATCGCCTTGAGTGGTGCAGACAACGGTCACTCTGGGATCAGGAATGGAACAGTATTGTCTTTAGTCACGAGTCTCGATTTTGTTTAGGCGTGCACGATGGTCGTGCCAGGGTTAGAAGGCGATGTGGTGAAAGGAGGAATCCACAGTTTTTTGTTGAAAGACATGTTCATCACACTGTTGGACTTATGGTTTGGGGTGCTATAGCTTGTGGTTCCAGGTCACCTTTAATCTTCATCAGAGGTAACATGAACGCGCAGTGTTATATCCACGAAGTTCTAGAACCCCATCTTTTACCCTATCTTGACACCCTGGCAGATCCAAGTTTCCAACAAGATAATGCCCGACCACATGTTGCAAGAGTCACAATAGACTTCTTTCAATATAATGATGTCACATTGTTACCATGGCCACCAAGATCTCCCGACTTATCCCCAATTGCACTTCGAGAGGAGTTGGTGGTTTCCTGGAATGAGATACCACAGGAGGACATTGACCACCTGACCAGAAGCATGCCTAGGCGCGTTGGAGAATGCGTAGCACATCAGGGTGAATCCACACATTATTAAAGGTCAAAGGGCTTTAAAGCAGTGCAATCATTTTGAAATTTTCATCATTTACTTATTATGCTTCATTAAGTACTTATACAAAATTTTATTGAAATAAAACCATTTAAACTGGGTGTTCGGATTTATATGTCACTTAGTATAGTTCTAGAAAACTCAGTTTGATCAAACCGAATCATTTAGTCACTGTAATGAATAATCCAGAAGAACTGATTAATTGACGACATTTTCTAAGTGTATTATTTTGATTCTAGACGTACGAATGGCCAGACAAAAGCATCGTCTTATCATCTTTCTTCTGGGGATACATCCTGCCTCAAATCCTGGCCGGTCACCTCGCTAACCAATATGGCCCCAAGTGGTTCCTGGTAGCCTCAATGACAATTTGCTCAAGTGCAGGGCTCCTTTTGCCTCTTCTTGCCGGGGCTTTCGGTAGCAAAGGAGTCATGGCAGTTCGTGCTATCCAGGGGCTTGCCCAGGGGTTCATCTTTCCATCTGTACACACTTTGCTGGCGAAATGGGTGCCCCCTGAAGAAAGAAGTAGATTGGGGACATTTGTATATGCAGGTGAGGTATTCTTCTATTTTTTGCAGGATGTTTCTTAAATATGGGATACACATTGAGCGAACACTACTTTGGGTTGTTGTAAGGTTATTTTGTCTATTTTGTCCGATTTCGAAATGAAAAATTACGTCAAGTAGGTTGACTTTAAAAAACTACAAAGCTTTTTTATCCTTGGCACAGTAGTAACTGTGTGTGAAAATTCATCCAAATTAGAGCGTTACTTTCAAAGTTCAGCGGACAGACAGACAGACCGCCAGACCGACGGAAATGAGCGACATGTTTTTTTTGTATCATATAACATGTAGATAACATAGTGTTTATCTGATTTTCGAAATTTTTCGCGATTACGATTCTGCCTTGCCAGTGGGCGAGGGAAGCAAGAAAGCTTCGTATTGAAAATACGTTTTCATTAGTAAGATCTTAGGTCAGGTTTCATAAGGTACAAAACGTTGAATAGACAGTATGTGGTGATGCTCCTGATAACACAATTTAAAGAGAACGAATTAACAGATCATCGAATTCATGGAGTAAAACAGAATTTTAACAAATCTTCAAGCTGAATTCAGGAAAAATCACCCAATTAAAACGGCAATACACTTGGTTTTATAGGACTGGAGATGTTTGGACAATAGGAAACATACAGTGATAGTGTTTTGGACTTCAAAAAAATTTAAATTGAATGCTTCCAAAACAAAATGTATGCTAATAGAGAAATGCTTACATGAAAATACTATCTCAGTTAGGATAAATAGCACATATTTGAAAAAGTTGAATCAATTAAATATTTGGGTATATGCAGGGTGTCGCATCGGCAACTCCATCGATAGATTTCTCGAAAAGTAGACATGATATTTTTGAAAAATGGGGCAACGGCAGATAAAATATTTTCAAGATGGTGACACTTCCGGTTATACCGGAAGTTGATGCCAACTTGCTTATTTTAAATTGAACACTCTGTATATTACTCAATATTCGAATTCTACATAAAATTATAGTCACATTTCATGTATACTAAGTGACATATAAATCCGAACACCCAGTTTAAATGGTTTTATTTTAATAAAATTTTGTATAAGTACTTAATGAAGCATAAATAAATGATAAAAATTTCAAAATGATTGCACTGCTTTAAAGCCCTTTGACCTTTAATAATGTGTGGATGCACCCTGATGTGCTACGCATTCTCCAACGCGCCTAGGCATGCTTCTGATCAGGTGGTCAATGTCCTCCTGTGGTATCTCATTCCAGGCAACCACCAACTCCTCTCGAAGTGCTTCTAGAGTCTGAGGAGGACGTTGCAAATTGAGCAATCTCCTACCCATCATATCCCACACGTGCTCAATTGGGGATAAGTCGGGAGATCTTGGTGGCCATGGTAACAATGTGACATCATTATGTTGAAAGAAGTCTATTGTGACTCTTGCAACATGTGGTCGGGCATTATCTTGTTGGAAAGTTGGATCTGCCAGGGTGTCAAGATAGGGTAAAAGATGGGGTTCTAGAACTTCGTGGATATAACGCTGCGCGTTCATGTTACCTCTGATGAAGATTAAAGGTGACCTGGAACCATAAGCTATAGCACCCCAAACCATAACTCCAACAGTGTGATGAACATGTCTCTTTCAACTAAAAACTGTGGATTCCTCCTTTGACCACGTCGCCTTCTAACCCTGGCACGACCATCGTGCATGCCTAAACAAAATCGAGACTCATCACTAAAGACAATACTGTTCCATTCCTCATCCCAGAGTGACCGTTGTCTGCACCACTCAAGGCAATTACGTCGGTGTTCTCGAGTTAAAGGGAGGACCCAGTGTGGCCGGTATGAAAACAAGCCAAAACTTCTCATTCGTCGGTAAACACTTCGCATGCGAATAGGTCTTCCGTATTCTGCAAACCATTCTTTGCAATGGACCTGGTAGTGGAGAAACTGTCCCTTAAGGCCAATAATCTTAGGCGGCGATCTTCACGGTCTGTTGTTCTACGGCGGCGTCCAGTGCCCCTTGCTCTTTGCGTACGGCCTTCTCGAAGCCATGCCTGACAACACCTAACCACAGTGTCTACACTTCTTTGCAATTGCCCGAAAAGAAAGTCCAGCTTCCCGAAGTCCCACTATACGGCCCCTATCAAACTCACTAAGTTGACGAAATCGTACAGGTCTCCGTACTCTAGGCATCGTAACCGATCGTAAAGGATGTCAGGAACCAAAATCCGCCAACGTTGATTCTTTACTGCGGCTGAAATATTCATTTTTAGAGCGTTAGTGAATTAAAAAAAAGCAGTATAAAAACCGGAATGTCCAACTGATAAGGCTGAAAATTTTTTCACTTGTTATTTACAGTAAGATAAATACATTCACCAACTTTTATTAAAATAAAACCATTTAAACTGGGTGTTCGGATTTATATGTCACTTAGTATATCTTGTAATGATATTCATTTATAAAGTAAACATAATATATTCCCGCCATTTCTATCTAGTTTAACTTCATCAAATGTCGACCATCATTTACAGGTACATAATACCTGAAATAAAGATAACTTCCATATAATTTCCAAAAAGTGTAATATATGCTACAAATATGTAGTTCGTCAAGAGTTGATTGAATATTCATTTCGGGCCTGATGAAGCCAACCAGCAGAAATACGTATCGCTCGGGTTACCTATCCCATTTTCTGATCGAATTCACTTTCCTCCTTTTTGCAGATTTTGCCCATTATTTTCCTACTTTTTGTTATATACCTTTCTCCGTATTCTCACTTTCTCTTTGTTGATCCTTTGGGCTTGAAGTACCACAGCAAGTGGCTATAACCGGCCGCGTGGTTCTTGGTTAGATGTCTCCTTGAAAATTCGAGGTCTTCTAGCCAGTTTATACTATACAATGTGTAGGTTGGCTCTTGTTGTGGACTTCGTGTATCGTTCTTTCCCACTTCATCTTCGTTTCATCAGGTTACGCCCGTATCCGGATGTGTGGGCATGTGTATCTACTTTTGTAGTTTCATATGTGCATTCGTTTCGGGCCTGATGAAGCCAACCAGCAGAAATACGCATCGCTTGGGTTACCTATCCTATTTTCTGCTCGAATCGACTTTCCTCCTTTTTGCGGATTTTGCCCATTATTTACCTACTTTATATATATATATATATATATATATATATATATTTATGTAATTAATATCTTCACCATCAATACTTAGTTGAACATTTCTATATTGTGTTTATTTTTCAATTAACATAACTTTCATTTTACTTGTATTTAATTTGAGTTTGTTAGATGCTAACCATTTTGAAACAAGTTTCAAGACTTCATTTATATAAGAGATACCAGTCTAAAAGACTTTGAGTAGCTATATAAATAAAAGCGTCATCGGCGAAAATTAGACTTTTGCATTTTTTTGTATACCTATGTATAAAATAAAGAGAAATGGTCCCAGGATACTGCCCTGTGGAATATCTAACGTACTCGTATTTTCAGTGTTTGATGAAACAGTGTTAATAACTTTTTTAAGATGCATCCAGTTAGACAAATAATTTTTAAACCAGTCCAAAAAAATTACACAACAATTTATCTAACAAAATATCTCTATCAGTTGTCTCAAATGTCCTCTTCCAATCCCTTTATTGTTCTCACCTCCTGTATGGTAACATTTTTTTCAGCTGCTCACTTTGGAACCGTGGTGTCTATGCTGCTGACTGGACTCATAGCTTCCAGTTGGTATGGGTGGCCAATGGTGTTCTACAGCTTCAGTTGCGCTGGACTCATTTGGGCTTGCATCTACGCCTTATTGGGCCACAATACCCCTGCTACACATCCTCATATCACCATGGAGGAAAGATACTTTATTGAAAGCAGCTTGGGATATGGAGAAGGCAAACCAGTAAGTAACGACCTCCACATACAGGGTGCTCTTGATGATGAGATTTTACTTCATACTACGCGAAGTACAATTCTTGTGAAAAGATCATACTTCCCTACTAACGTATACATATACCAAATGCTTAAGACGACTGACTTATCAGATTTTTCAAAAATATTATCATTATTATTATAGTACCCTACTGAGCGAGGGCCGTGGCAAATGCTTGTTCCGGAAGTTGTTGTATCCAGTATACAACTTCTTCCCGTTCAAGTGATTGTGCACGCGTTAAGGAATACCTCAGTACCGATTGCCGGGTGGCGGTACAAGTCCGCCAACGGGCCACTTTAGGTCTATTTAACATCACTAACACGTAAAAAGAAGGTGGTACACAAGGACCAGTCGACCGAGGCAGTACCACCCGCTAGCTTTTCCCAGGGTGTCTTATAAATGTCCGCATGTTTCCACACATAAGCTACGCAGTCGGTTATCTACCAAAACAAAGAAATTAATGATGATGGATCCCTCGAGCACGAAGAACTCCGGACGTAAACTCACTCCACTCTCGGAATGTCCGGGTGGAGGGTGGGCTCGAGGGAACAACATCGAAGATAAAATTTGTTTTTCGAACATCTGCGGGATCAACAGCAACATTGACGCTGTTCATCACTACCTGCAATCCAATCCCGCCGTGCTTTTCTTGGCGGAGACAAAAATGTCAGAGACTGCACCGATTAACCATCTCAACTTCCCAAACTACGAGGTGCACTCCAATCTGAGAAAGAACGGGGGAGTTGTGGCTTTTGTCCGCAGCAGTCTTTCCTGCTCCAGGGATCTTTCTTTGGAATCAGACCGGAAGGACATTCTGTGGCTTCGCCTCAACTCCAAAACATCACCAAAATTTATTTGCTGCCTTTATCGCGCTCCCTCGAACCATAACTGGGATGACCTACTCGAATACCTCGCCGTCCAGATCGACTTCCTGAACATCAATCACCCCGCTTCACAGGTAGTTCTTCTCGGTGATTTCAATGCCCATAATGAGCTTTAGTTGGGATCACTTAAGACCGATTCAGCAGGTCGTGCAGTCGAAGCGTTCGCTCTTACTCAAGTGCTGACCCAGCTGGTCACGAGCCCTACTTTTTTCCCCCGCATCTCGTCACACGCCACTAGCCTGCTGGATTTCTTTCTGACCATGCATCCTGTCCCTTACAGCACTGCTGTTCTGTCCCCCCTGGGTAACTCAGATCACGGTGTTGTGGGGGTTAGGTTTTGGTCAGAAACCGCTGTGGCAGCAGAAACTCGTACAGGCCGCAAAACTTGGCATTACGGACATGCCGACTGGGAGGGGCTCAGAGACTTCTTCTCTAGCTTTCCTTGGAGAGATGTCTGTTTCACTGACGCGGTTGCGTCGACTGTCTGTTCTTCGATAACCGAAATTATCCACGTCGGAATGGAGGAATACATCCCTCACAACGTGAAAGTTCCTAAACCAGGGTCCAACGGCTGGTTCAACAAATCGTGTGACACTGCTCGCCAGCAGAAGATCAAGGCACACAGAACCTACTTACAAAACCCCACTGTAGAGAACAGACAAACCGACCTCGAGTCCAGAAACAAATATAACGAAGCGGTTCGCAATGCGAAAAACCAGCATGATATAAAAGTTAGGCACAGGGTAATGTTGCAATGGCAGTCGGTCTTTCTGGACGCTGGCCAAGCAGATTGAAAAGAACTTCTCACACAGTAGCCTTCCACCACTTACGTGTCAGGATGGATTTATTGTATTCGACTCAAAGGCCAACGCGGAAGTGCTAGCCAAGATCTTTGCTGCCAACTCCACCATGGACGTCCCCACCAACGCCCAAGTGCCGTCAATTCAAAGGGTTCCCCACACTATGCGGGAGGTAACATTCAGGCATAAGACCGTAAGACGACTGCTCTTGGCGCTCGACATCAACAAAGCTTCTGGTCCGGACTTGATTCCTGCCATTGTACTGAAGAGATGTGCAGCGGAGCTTGCTCCAGTTCTTTCGCGTCTCTTCCAGATATCTTATGAATCCGGCACCTTCCCAGAAAACTGGAAATTTGCTCATGTACAGCCCATCCCAAAAAAAGGATCTAAGACCGACCCTTACAACTACAGGCCTATAGCTCTGCTTTCTGATATAAGTAAAGTGATGGAGAGGTGCATAAATCGCGAGCTTCTGGACTACCTCGAACGTCACAGCTTGATTAGCGACAGGCACCAACGATCCACAGGGGATCTCCTAGCTTACGTCACGCAACTGTGGAGTAAACTCATCGAGTCTCATGGTGAGGCTCATGTCGTTGCTCTTGACATCACGAAAGCGTTCGATCAGCTGTGGCACGCTGCCCTCTTAAGCAAACTTCCATCCTATGGCCTCCCAGAACAGCTTTGCAGATGGGTGGCTGACTTTATCTCTGGCCGCAAGATATCCGTCGTAATTGACGGATTCTCATCTTCATCCCACAACGTCAACGCGGGTGTTCCCCAGGGATCGGTCTTGGCTCCAACACTGTTTCTCTTACATATCAACGACCTCCTTTCCTGCACGATCAACCCAATCCACAGCTTGGCTGATGACAGCACTCTACATGCAGGAATTCAGAGTGATAAGCCGATCTCTGCCGCTTAGATGGAAAAAAGAAGACTAGCGACGACTTCTTCTCTGACAAGAGACCTGGAGGCTATCACTGCTTGGGGACGCAACAATCTTGTACAGTTCAATGCTTCCAAAACACAGTACTGTACTTTGACGAACAAAAAGCGTCCTAGCGCTCATCCGGTTTCGATGGATGGTCGAGTTCTGCCACAGAGCCATTCATTTCGGCTGGTCGGAGTCCAGATCACCGAGGACCTGATCTGGCACGAACACATCTCGTCAATACCTGGAGCTGCTAGGAAAAAACTAGGCTATTTGTTTAGGGTTAAGAAGTACTTTTCTCCACATGACTTTCTCACTCTATACAAGGCCCAGATAAGGCCTAGCTTAGCCTCTTCCATGATGCCGCCGCACGATGTGCCTGCCAGACAGACCCGCCTGACTTCGGCGTCCCATCCTAACCGTGTCAAACTTCGTACATCCAGAACTGGCCGATACGACCGCTCCTTTGTCCCGAGGGTGTCTAGATTGTGGAACAATCTACAAGAGGAAGCTGCTTTTCCCAGTTCTGCTAACCTAAGGCAGTTCAAAAGTCGCGTTAACAAAATTTCTTTGGGATCATCATAGCAGCCGCGGTGTTCCGGCATTTAGGCTTCTGCCTGCGCGGCTGTTTCGATATAAAAAAAAAACAAAATAGAACTGAGCAGAGTACAATACTATAAGCTCATAACTGCTTATCAAGTGAGTATAAAGAATATAGCCTAAGCAATTTTAAAAAAAGGTTAAAGGTGAGTTTAAAGCAGTCGGATGGCAAAAATTGTACTGTATGCATATCCACAGGTAATTGATTTTTTCCTTTCTCTGATAAGTGTTATATTCTAAGTTTTTTTTCTCTCTCTCTCTCTCTATGGTTTGTGTCAATGTTTTCCAGGTCGGGTTGAAAAACAGCATAAGCTGACACTCCACCTTTTCGTCACTGTTCCTTTTAAACCAATTATTTTGTAATCGTGTGACGAATAAAGGCCATTTATTATTATTATTATTATTATTAGGGTATTCCAGCCTACGAGAGCAAACAATTTTTTGTTCAAATTTGAATCTAACAATTCAAAAAATAAATATTAGTTAAAAGGGAAACCATGTATGGATTTTAAAACCTAATTCTTATTCCATTGATAAAACACTGCTTTATTTGTATTTTATATTTCTTAGATATTTATCATCAGAACGGAGACTACAACTTTACCTGCCTGTGGTTTTGTACGTAACATAAAAAATGTTTTTGTTCCCCATCGGCAGTGATTCAGCCATGGAAATCTTGCATTAACTGCTCTTTCTGCGATATCGTTAACTGCTTTCAGTGTTGGCACCTTATTTTTGACGTGTTCTCATAGATATTTTTTTCTGAAATGAAAAAACGAAGAACTCCAAACTTGCTGGTTTTGTCCGTCCGATCACAGACAGTCAACCATGGACAAATGTTTTGTGATTTTTGGCGACTCATCAGCATCGACTAGTCTTGGCCTCAGGTCAGGACAACGAACGAAAACATAGCAACTAACCTCTATCTGAGGTATAAGATCTATCGAAATAAGACAGTATAAGGTGCCATCTATTGCCAGAATCGCAGTTTATGCTGGCTCATTCTAGCAGTTAGCATATTATATCGAAGCAGAGCAGTAAAAGAAGACAAAGGAAAATTTATTTGTCAGAGTTATCATAAAGTGGGCCTGAAAGTTCTTCTTTCGACGGGATGTAGCGTTTACTGCGGCTGATGGACTTAAATAATAATAATAATAATAGACGTCTTTATTTATCCACAATTACATTGTAGTATAGCCAAATGTCAGACTTATATGGCGAAGTTTAGCATGCTGCTACTCTTACACTTAACCATATAGTCTCTAGCAAATGTTCAAAAGAATACACTATCCACAAACAGATTTGGGTCATTACATCGAAAGTAAAATTTAAAAAAAGGAGAAAAAGGCATACTTTCCAAACCCAAATGCACCAAAAAATTATTAATCTGAATTAAAGATGGAATAAAAAAGAAATGAATGATTACGTAAATTATATGTTTGGAGGGTTGAGTAATAATAATGTTTTAACTTTTTGTCGAAAGACAGGTAATGAAAATTCTTTATATACTTTAGGAAGGTCATTATAAATAATAGCAACATTGTAAGAAAAACTGCGTTTAAAAAGTGTAGACGTATGCAGGGGTATTCTAATATTATTTTCTCTGAGAGTTATACAGTCATCATGATTAAATGAAATTTTTTCCTTCAAGTAATAAGGTTTAGACGTGAGCAGCAATTTGTGAACAAAAACTGAATAGTGATACTTGACCATGTCATTAATTTTTAACCAGTTTAGAACGGGATATTTCGC